TGTGATCGTCCTGCATTTGGCTTCATTGCATGTGTTTCGTGAGTCTGAAGAGGACTTTATAGATTGATATCAGACATATGGGCTACTATTGGACTTATAGACTTGATCTGGACTGGGCTGGGATGTTTTCTCCCTGTTCAATTGCTCTTGTATATAAACCTCTTTCTTATACATATATGTGTGTCCATGGATTTGTTTCTCTAGTCTACTCAGACTAACACATCATGGGATTGTTTTCCACCCACTTTTTCAAGTCCCCTAGTATGCAGCCAGTTCTGTATTTAAAGCAGAAAAGTGCCGTGGTTTCCATTTTGAAATAGCCATGCGTGGACTTGAGAAGCAGGTGGGGAGACAGGAAAGGCCGAGCTGGGATGGATCAGCCCCTGGCAAGCTCACCTGAACATTCTTTCACTGACTTCTCCCTCCAACCTGCTGGCGTGCATGGAAACCATTCCAAAGGAGCCCAAGGGTTGGTGAGTGATGGGGAACGGGGTCTGCTTGGAGGTGAATCCTCCGGCCCTGGCGGGGGTCTCCTTGAGTACAGATGAGAAAGGGAGGCAGGTGGCAGTACAAGACACAGAGAGGCTAACCACTTCCCCAGCCTTCAAGCTGTCCAGGGGAAAGGGCTCTGTAGCACTTAGTGAGGGACCCTGGACACAAGGCTCTGTGTTCCTCTCTTGGTTTTCAGGTTCTTGGGAGCGGGTAGAGGGAGTCACAGTGGGGCACACGGTGCCTGCTTGATGCCTAGCTTCTGGGGAGGTGTTAGCTCCTCTGGTAAAGGCTGGGCCATCAGTGATGGGTGGTAAGCCACTTGGTTCACAGGTGGGATCCAGTTCAGTGGCACCCGTGGCTGATGCACAACTCCATATAGGCACCTTACGGTGGGCAGTATCCTCAACATCTGAGATGCTGCTATCGGAAAAGGCTCGCTCCCCAACATTCAAGTCTTCTGCCATGTTCTTTGGAGTTTCCAATGGCGCACTCGGGGGAGATCTGTCCCGAGGTTTCTCAAGCGCTCTGCTGAGTGGTATTTGTAAATGAAGACCTTTGGTACCAACTCCTATGGGGTCCTCGGTTCTACCCTCCAGATAACCCTGTCTTTGAGCGTCAGTCTGACTCTCTTGACCTTGGGGGATGTCTATATAGCCAGGGTCCTGAGGGTCAGCAGCATCTAAAATGATTTCCACGAGGGAGTGGTCTCCCTCAGGGTCTTGGGTCCCAGAGCGTTGGAAGCAGTTTCTGGGAGAATCGAAGCTCTTGATGGGTATATCCAAAACTTCAGCGAGAGCTCTGCCTTGGGCCGTGGGGTCCGGGTCCTCAGCAGACTCTTCGGGACTACTGATTTGGGGTGCAGACACGGACTTGGTCAACTTTGTGGCCAGTTCCCGCTCCTCGTCCTCAAAAGGCAAGGAGGTGATGGACGTGAGAGAAGCCTGGATTCCGCTGGGCAGACTCGTGTTGCTCTCCGTGTGCCCACCCTCCAGGGAGTGCCTGTGGAGGGCATGTCGGCAGACCAGCTGGTGCAAGACTTCCCGGTCACTGGGCAAGTCCAGTGCCTTGCTCCGGGCTTCGGACCACGCGATGGAGCTCGGCTCACTCTCAATGCCCGAGTCCGATATGATAGAGGAAGACCTCCTGATGACCCCAGAGAGGACCCGCACTCCCTCCTGCCCCTCTGTGAGAGGGTCCCTGGGGGAAGACCTCACAGTCGAGGGATCCCTCAGAATAGAACCTAGTGAGTCACAGGGCTCGGAGGAAGTGGGTTTCAGACTTAGCAGCACCACCTTAGTCTCCTGTTCTGCTCCCTTTCCAAGAGGACTTAAGTCATGGAGAGGGGCCCTCTCAGAGGAGAAGGCATTGTGGTGGCTTTCACTGGCTGCCACTTTGCTTAGCAGTGTTCTGTCTAATTCCGGGGCATCTCCCGTGGCCCTGGGCTCTCGCTGAGTGCGAATGAGCACCACTGGTTCTACCACCAAGGGTGTCACCCCTATAGGCTCGGCCACCCCAGGCTCAGCTCTGCAGGTGTTCTTATTGCTTGAGTTCACATCGATGTAAGTCAGTGCTGGGGCCTGTCCATCCTCTGCACGTAGACTCTGTACAGGCAGGTCCTGAGCTCCTGGTGGGTGTGGACTAACCTCAGACCTCTGGCCAGTCCTACACTCTTCTTCACGCAAACCCGCTTTGTTGTGGAATCCACCAATGGTCAGATACACTTGAGATTCGGAACACAGGTCTGTGGCGTTCGGCGTAGCCTTGCTGTCACCTGGCTCTGAACCCCGAACACCCTCTTGCTCAGCGTCCACTCGGGGTGGTTTCAGGTCTTCCCCGAAAGACAATTTTCTATTTGCCTGGCAGTTCTCTGCTGTACGGGGTCCATTCAGTCTAATGGGACTCTCGGCTGGGACGGGAGCGCTGGGATAAGTATCCAAGTCATGCCCTGGGGGGAAAAGGCCAAGAAAAGCCATTATAATGAAAGACTCTATTTTCACAAGTTGTTCAAATACTTCATGCAAATCGGTCAAGTGCTGTCATTCCCGAACCATCATTAGCTGATGAACATGGAACCAGTGATCCGTTAGGAAGGCCTGGTTTGGGACACTGACTCGTCACTTATCTGTTGGGGGTCCTGGACGAGGTTGACATTTCAATAACGTGTTTTCTTTTCGAAGTGTGCCCTTCTTACCTCTAGGGTGGGCAGAGCCAGTCACTGTCCCTGGGGCCTCCCTCACTGTAAGTGTAATCAAGAAGGGCCACCATACATAAGGAGCACCGATCTCAGTGCTCAGTGCTGACACACCTCCTGAGCTCTGTAATGGGGGGGAGGGGGGGTAACGGAACTAACTGGCACTGCAATCACAAGGAGGTTCCCAGACTCACCTTGACCTTGGTGGCTAGATCATCCTCTTCTTTCTTAGTTTTTATTTAGGGTTAACCTCTCCCTGGCATTATCATACTGGAGTGGGGTGTGTGTGTGTGTGTTTCTGTGTGTGTGTGTGTGTGTGT